TGTACATGAAGAAAAGAAGGTGGGGGGGGGGGGGGGGAGGTTGTGTGTGTGTATATACACTAGCTTTAAAGATAAAAAGAAATTTGCAATGATTAGAGACAAACTTTTAAAAATAAACAAATCAATGCCTTGTTCATACTGCTTGAACCTCTGTAACATATTCAGGGTATCACTTCTTAGTGAGCCAAACTAGCCTGACATCCTTCCATGACAGCCTGTTTCCAAGAAATTTGTAAACTCTGTCTATAGGCTCCAAATAACTGCTATTAGTGTGTATTACAGAAAAGCCTAAGTCTAGGGCTGTCAATTTAGAACCCCTATTTTGCTGCTTGATAGTTCAGATCCAGAACTAGTTTGCTTTGTCGTTTCCCATTTGAACAATGCCTTGGAGTGTTGACTGGGATACATTCATTAGAAATCAATTCACCCTTCTTTACTAGTCAAAGTATAACTCTGAAAAGAGTTTCTTCTCCCCCACCTCCCACTGCTCTGGTCCTTTTCCACCTCCTTCTTATTTTCCCTTTTTCCCTGAGCTTATATTCATTAAAATGTTTTAAAGTTTTTCCTTAAGTATAGTAATTTCTTTTTGGGGAAAAAAAAATTAAAATCTGTTAGTCTGCTGGAAAGAGAAAATCTCATCTAAAATAAATAGCAAAGTGTCTTTTGATTGAAGGATGATTGCAAATGAGACCTCAAAACAAAATGTTTGCCAAAGGGTTTGACTTGACAAGTGTGCCTGCCTTTACAGTGTAGGATCATAGATTAACTAATAGTTCCAATTGCTCTGTATTCATCTTGAAGCACAATATTGATCAGTTCTTTCCCAGGCATAAAATCCTAAGATGAAAAGATAAGGATGTTCTTCCATGTGTTCACCCAGACAGCGTGGAGCTAATTCCTTCATGTGGTGAATGCCAAAAATGACAATGGGAAAAGCTGCATGAAGTAAAGAACACTCTAGGTTTTTTGTAGAGGCTTTATTAAGAATCCCATTATGGGCACTGAATGTAGTCTTAGGAAACAGATACGCAGCAGTTAAATAGCAACCAGCCTTAGTACAAGAGATGTTCTATACTAGTCTTTCAAATCTGTGTAAACTGAAAAAAACCCCACAACGTTACAGACAGTGATCAAGAAGACCTGAGATGAGATGTTTTTATTTTGTTATAAAATCTGTGAGGCAACTGAAGTTATAATGATAAATGTAGTATAAAAATCTCATTAGATAAACAGGTAGTTTTGAGAATAAAGGGAACTGACATCCCATATACTCAATTGGACCTATGATGACTGAGAGTCTTGATCTGTGAGGTCATGATGGATCATGCTACATGTATGTTCAAATCTATTCAAGGTGGAGTAATAACTGTTTCTATTTATAGTATAAAGGGAGTATAATAGCTTCAAGCCTTCTTGCATATATACTTCCAGAACTGATAGCATAAAAATCTTTTCCGTTGTATACAGGCATATCAGTAAAGTCTCTAGGAGCTTCTATTAAGCAGCCTAGACCAGAGAAAAAGCTATTTAATCTCTCCTTAAAAGAGTACAGCTAACCATTTTCCACATTGTCTACAGGATGTGACCTTTATGTGCCAGAAGTCTATTCTTGTGAATTATAAGTTAGCTAAGGATGTCTCATCTACATTTAAAAAAAAAGAGAAGGAAAAAAAAAAAAAAAAAAAAAAGGACACCCACCTCCCCCCCCCCAAAAAAAAAAAAAAGGAAAGAAAAGAAAAAAAGAAAAAGCTTTGTTTTATACAAATAATCTATTAAGATTCTGGCTGGATTTTAGAATGGTTCAGGGGTTACGCTAATTAAATTCAGTTAATTTTGCCTTGCAATTACCTTTCAGTATTTGCCTAGGTTATTAAGGCTTGAAGATGGTTGATGCTGATGTCTTTGAGAAGCATGTTTAAAAATCCACTTCTAAATTCTTTCCAATCATCAATTTATGCAGTGTTCATTATACAGTGTAAGAATATGAAAGTGCTTGGTACAGTAGTTAGGCACCTACTATGTCATGTGACAACTGCAATTATCTCTTTTGGTGACAAATGCAATCTTTGCAGTGATTACCTTTAAAAAAATCATAGCCAATTAAATAAAATTCTGTGACATTTCAAAGACTGTTAATCACAACCAAATGCTGTAAATGTCAGAATGCATTGAAATTTTTGCTGCTAACTGATGAATCACTGAGTTAATTGTAGTTCATCATAAGGCCCTTGTCATTGTTATTATTATGGAAAACACTTTCATCACTCTTGCTATTCAATAAAATTAAAGTTCTAGACAAATATGAGAAGATATTACTCATCAAAGGATTTGAATTTAATCTCATTCTTCAAAATATTCGAACAGATAACTACATAGAATAATACAGATGCATGCAGAGTGATGTTTTAAAATAAATATATGAAGGCATTCCCCATTTGTTAATTTCCCTTTTAATGTACCTTGTCTTTCAAAAGATGTTGTCCATGTGAAGAATATATCCCTTTACAAATAACTTTATGAGGAAAATATTGGATCGAAGGTCATACTAATGAAGGAATCCCACTTTAATTCTGGTTCTGGCTAGGACTGGAAAAACTGTCATGACTGAAGAATTTTAAGGATTGATTGCCTTAAAGGTATCACAGATAGGAGTTTTCACACAGGCAGTGGCCAGAATATAGCTAACTCTGAAAACCCACATTAGTTTCCCTTTAAATAACTCTATTACTGTTCACTGAGGTTCCTGTTTGATCAAAAGGAAACAGATCTGGAGGAGAGCTGCAGGTGATAAAAATGATTGTTGAATGATATTTATGGATGTGATTACTCAGATATAGAAATGTGAAGGCAGAAGAGAAGAGGACAGCTTACTGCTGGAACCCACCATTCACTCCCTTTCCCGCTGCAGGCATGTCTACAAAGGTCACATTTTTATAAGTTAAGAACTTTTTCTAGAAAAAATGATTTTAGAATTTTGGGAAGAACAGCGAATATGTAAGGGCAAGTATTCTGCAGGAAGGTTAAAGACAGAGGAGTTACTAGTCCAGATCAAACTAGAATAAGCCAAATAAATTTTGTGGAATCCAGAAGCAGTCAGAGTCCCTGCAAGGTAATTCACCTTTAAATTTAAACACTACTTCTCAGGTGGGACTACCCTTTATTGGGCAGTATTCATAACAGATAGACTGGTGAGGTGGGACAAGACGGTTATTCCTTGGCTTTCTCAGTGCCAAAAGAAAGGTGGTAGGATGAGGCCTTGTCTGATCTGAAAGTTGGTAACGTACCTGAAAACTACATAGGAAGAGAACAAAAGGAGATTTTTCATTCATTAGCATGTATTCAAACATTAGCCCAATCTATAAAGAGTTGTGTGTAATGCCCCACTTTATTGCTCTTTTCACAGATATTTTTAGTGTTCGTACAGAGTAATTAAAAATCAAATAATTTTCCAACTTTGCTTTTTTTTTTGCTAAAATTGACTATTTCACCTAAGTTCGTTGAATATATAAAATAATACACAGACAAATAAGAATCTATTCTGCAATAAGAGCAAGTGGAAACACATGGATTTAAAATTAAGGCACCAACTCCAGAATCAAGAGTTCAAAGCTTATATTATGACTCAGTCCAATTTACTTGCTCTTTGACCAGGAGAAAATCCCATTTGTGGGATGCTGAAGCTTTCTTTGCATACTCCAAAGGACATGCTGATTGCTGTCTAAGTACCTGTGCTCAAGTACTGCTGTTCAGCAGCTTGAATTACTTATATGTATTCATTTTAAGTAATAGGAGAATCTGAGAATATATAAATATTAACTTGGTTCTGCCAGATAAACATTTTATGAAAAATAACATGTGGAATGTAATCCTGAGTGAATATGAATGCCATATGAATAGTCATATGTCTCTGTGAGTGGTGTATCTTCTGTACTTTCCAGTAAAATTGTCATTAATTACTTCTTTTTGTGTAGCTTGTTCTTTTAAAATTATATTTAAATCAAAGCAAACCCTATGTAGATTCATCAATACATGTCATCTGTCTAAAGCAGAGGAATACATTTTTAATTTGGAGAAGTGCTATATTTATGTATCTTTCTTATTTTTCAAGCTGATAAAATGGGGATATCTAATGAATCCTGATTCTGTTACACAATTGAAGTTATAATTCAATAAGAACATAATATCTGTGATAAAATGTTTTCAATGTGAGACTTTTTCACCTACTTCTAAGCATGCTAGAGATTTGACAAGATCCATGTTTATCCAGTGCAGTCCTATCTATCTTCACCTCACGGGAATGTGCTGTAACTAAATGGTTTCCTTTCACAGTTCAATCACACAGGACAAGGAAGTATTTGCAGCCAAGCCATAATGTTGATTACTGATGGAGCTGTGGACACGTATGATACAATATTTGCAAAATATAATTGGCCAGACAGAAAAGTAAGTATGTTATCGCCTTTATTTGATGGAAAAACCAAAGCTGCATATCCAATACAAAGTGTATGCCCATTGAAAAATCAGTGACAATCTTTCTTATGATCTAAAAATTATTTTGGGTAACTGGACACTTTACTGATAGCAAAAGTGATGCTTATGTGATATCACTCAAGGATAGAGATTGCCTTTTACTGGAGTAATGAACTTAGGATAATAAGATATTAAGGAAATATTTTCCTCCAGGGTACATTTTTTACTGTTATATAATGCATTCCCTGTGAGACATCATTAAACTTAAAAAAACTTTTCTATCTCCCAAAATAGTCATTAATAATTCAATGTTTTTTGAAGCTAAAGAGGGATATGTACAGTGGACAGTGAACAGTTTACTATGACTGGAGAAGGAGCAGATGTAGTACTTGGTATTTTTAATTTCTTTATCGGGCAGACTGAGGGGTAGAGTTGGCAATTGGTGAGCTTTTATTGAAAATGTATTTGGTTTATTGATCTGTATAAAGAAATTTGCCCAGAATTAAATTACCTTGTTATATATCACATGGATGTTATACAGTAGTGCAGAAATGCCTTGAATTTTTCTGATGAGAAAGCTCCAGTAGGCCCCATGTTTGCATGTGAAATAATTTCCTTCTACACTCTTTATCTTCTGCTAACGCAAGTTTTGGGACTATTTTAGGAAGTTTTTGTGGTTTGAGATACCTGCTATGTTATATGCTTGTGGAAGCAACAAACTCAGTCTTCAAAGTGCGTTTTGAGCAAGTAATAAATATGAGTGTGTGTGTGGGGTTTCAGTATTCTTTGGGAAAAAAGCAATAGTTTTGATTTGTAGTTTTTAGTCACATTTCTCTCATTTATGAAATTACATTTGTTTTCTGTTGTGTCTTTTTTTGTTTAGCTGAACTAAAACTTATCTATTAACAATCAGTAAGCAAGAGAAAATGCGAAAATTGTGAATTTTTTTTTTCCTGATCTTCTGAAAATGTTATGTCAATTACTGTCATTTGGTGTAGTAAAAATATTATTCTACTATTCTACTTTTTGTTGGTTAAGAGTTTTTTATTCAGAGAATGTAGAGTAATAACTAACTGCAATCTGAAGATCTATTTTTCTCTTCAGATACCTTGCTCACTCCTTTCATGTAACTTCATTCTCTAAAAGAAGAAAGTTTGTACTTTTTGTGAATTTATCAGGACATGCCAGGAAGTTTGTCATCTTTAAAAGAATGCAAGGATGCATTGGTATTTGCGCATATTCTGAGGAGCCCTGTAACACTCTTCATGTGAATTAATGCTACGCTCTGTGTAGTGGAAGGAATGAGGAAGTTCAATATTTAATTAATGCATTAAGATGTAGAACTAGATATTACAAAATAAATTCCATTGGATGTCAGCATTTGTCCATTTTGGTATTTACTGTACTTCTTTGGGTCACATCTCAATTGGCAATGGCAATATATCTGAAATAGAACAGAAATATTTGTTTCTACTCTGTGACATACAAGAAGTACCTCTGTGAAATGTGGTGATCACCTGTTTACAAGTTGGAGGAGACTACGTGACCTTTGATCTTTGTCTCCCTACTTCAGTGCTTTTCACTGAAATTATTTGTTGTTGTTACATGAGAATATCTCCTGCCTTTTCTTATTCTGTATTTACTTTTGAAGATGGGTGATTCTTCAGGGGTAAAGCATTAATTGATTTTTCTGTTGCTTGATTAGACATTTGGTAAGTTAGGGCTTTAAAAAATAATTTGTCTATTGAAATTACTGAACAATTCTGGAAGCAGTAACATACCTGAACTTTAGCTTGTTTTTCAGATATTTAAATAGTCAAAATGGAATCTTTTTATCAGACAGGTCATATGTTATGTTTTTCTTCCGAAGTAAATGAGTGTAACTCCTTAATATTATACAGCTTAAGTCTTTTATCAGCTGTCTGTGCTCATATAAATCCCTGGTAGTAGTACAGTTTCAGTGTATCTCTTAAATCCTTCTTTGTATTCACACTTGGTGTCCATGCTTGGGATTGCCCTTACCCATGTGCAGGATCTTGCACTTGGCCTTGTTGAATTTCATGTGTTTTGCACAGCCCCATGTCTCAAGCCTGTCAAGGTCCCTCTGGATGGCATCCCTTCCCTCCAGTGTGTCAACCACACCACACAGCTTGGTGTCGTTGACAAACTTGCTGAAGGTGCACTCAGTCCCACTGTCCATGTTGCGGGCAAATACGTTAAACAGCGCTGGTCCCAATACCAACCCCTGAGGAGCGCCGCTCGTTGCTGGTCTCCACTGGGACATCGAGCCGTTGACCGCAACTCTTTGAGTGTGGCCGTAAAGCCAGTTCCTTATCCACTGAGTGGTCCATCCGTCAAATCCACATCTCTCCAATTTAGAGACAGGGATATCGTGCGGGACAGTGTCGAATGCTATATATAATCTGATTTAAGTTGTTAAGTCCTCAAATGTTTTAGGAGAACATTTTGCTTTATCTAGCAAACACTGATCTCTAAGGAGATTTACAGAATCTCTCAGAAGGATGTGCCTCTGATGTCTTGTATTTTCTTATACTATGAAGTTGGTTCCTCTCTTAAGAATGGGAAGAGACCATGAGGAAACTCCCTCTGTCATATGAAATCAGTAAAGAAAGAATTCTCTGATACAGTCAGCTCAGTATTTTCACAAAACCATGTGCTATATGTCTTTCATGTGCAAATCAACAGCTATATCTGAGATGATAATGCTTAGCACAGCTGTTGCAATAAGCAGCAGGACAGATTTCCCTTTAGGTATACTTCTGCAAAGGCCTAGCATGAAGAATCCTACCTTGTTTAGCAAGAATATGATGTTTAGGGGGTAGCTATTACTTAATATACAATATTCTGCCCAACTCTTACAAAATATTTAATGTATTATAGAGTCTTCTAAATTGTTTATTAGAAAATATGTAGAAAAAAAATCGAATCAGTTTGTCCTTTTCAGTCTCAAATGCTTCAGTATGCAAAATGTAAAAAATTTCCATATGTATGCTTTAATGCATTACAGCTTTCAACATTCTTTGTTGGATTTGTTGTTCTAGCAAGGAAGAATTACTGAATGTGCCTAAGAATTATGCATGTGGTGCACTTCAAGATCCTGTGCTTTTGCATTACACCATTTTTATTCTCTCCAAAGCCATTTTTTATTTTTATAAATCACACCTTTAAACTGCTTAGTAGGTTTTTTTTTTCCCCTCATGTTTTTTGTTCTCTGTTCATCTATAGATTGCCTTCCCATCTTTCTTATCATTTATATTTTTCCTGCCATTTTTATACTGTGGTGGACAGTGATGGACAAAGTAATACCTCTAATTGAGATAAGTTCTTAAGCTACCGTTTACCTCAATTACCCTGTCAGCAAAGTACCTATTTATGTTATGTTTTATCTAATGTTAGATAATATTAAATATGTCATTATTAGTTGCAGCAGAAACATCTTGTTCTCTTATAGAAAGGAACATATTCTTTATACAACTGTGAAGGCTTTGCCAGTTTGTTGGTGACAGTCTCTAAAAATGGAGTGTGAAAACATACTGTCACCATGTAAATAACAATTAATATTTTCTTTTTCTTTTCCACGCCATCTATATCTTTGCAAAAGATAGTCTTTTTTAAAAAAGATACTGTGTAAACAGGGATAAGAGCACTTTATTACACATTATTGCAGATGTATTCTGCTTGAGAACTGATTAAAAAGCTGCTTCTTTCTGATAATGTATTAAATAGAAATTGTGTTGCAATAATTTTGAAATGGAATAATGTGGCTCCAATTAAATCCCCAAAGTAGCTTAAATTAAGTAATTGAGTTTTTTGGGGGGACATCAGCCTGATTTTGTCTATGAGCTAGAGAATTATGACCATCAAAAGACTATTTTAAATTATCTTCTGGACTGTATCCTTGAAAGAAGGAACACTTTCCTTTTACCATTTATCTTATGAGTCCCTATCTCCCTTACCAAAAAACCCCACTTCCGCATGTTTTCTTAATATCTTCTGCTACTTAAAATGTAAATCTAGTAGATGCTGTTTTTATAACACACTCAGTTTTATTTGCATGACTGAGGCTCTAAGTTGTTAATGTCTATTTCCTTTTTTATGAGTCCATACATGGAATCTTAGACCTTAAGGAGCTAGATTTTCATGCATTATAAATGAGTTTATGCTATGTACATAGTTTTTCCTCATTCATGAAATTTGCTTTCAGTAATTTCAAGTTCCTGTAATTCATTCATGACAGCTTTGCCACATGAAGTACCAAAAAGAGAACAATTAATCTGCAAGAATAAATCCATCTACACTGTCATAAAAAAGCCCAGGTTTTCACTATGTAGCAGAAATCAAATATTTGAAAACATTAGTACCAAGAGGTGGTTTACAATTACAACTATGATATAGTTGCAATGTTTTGGGTTTTTTTGGTTTTTTTGGGGTTTTTTTAGATGTCCTATTTCAGGAGAAAGCCTTTAGCTCTCAAAATATCTTTTTGATATCAGTTGGAACAGAGTGTGTCTTGCTTTTGCTATATATCATTGCTTCTACTGTTATATCCAAATGCACTATTAGAAACCAAGCAAAATACTGCACTTACATATTTCACTAGGTAGCTTATTCTAATTTAAAAGCATGAAAAGACATTGTTGTTGTGGGGCAGGGGCAGGCAAATAGACATGACTACAGGAAAAGATAGTTCTTCAGGTTCTCTCCTGAAGAGAATTGTCTCCTCTTAAATAACACCATTCTACTTCCTTGCTATTGGAAAATTTCAGGAAGTAACTCATAGAAAATTCCAGGAAGATTAACGTTGTAAATATTCCTAAAATGCTATAGCACATCTAAAAATGAAATTACAAAGAGATCAGAGGTATTATCAGAGCTTCAACCCTGCCACGCTCGCTGTTGAAAGCCCTTTTAGTCACTAATTGAAAAGTAATAAATTTGGAACTGAAAGTATC